TCAGCAAACGAGAGCCCACGCGCACACAGGGCCATCAGCAGCAGACAGAGTGTCCCTGTCCCCTGTCACAAAGCAGGCCTGCAGACGCCGGCACCAGGGCTGTGGGAGCTGTGACCAGTGTCCACCCAGGCCCGCCTTCCCTGGGGGGAATGGCGAGAGGGGACCGCCAAGGGCTGGGCCCCCAACACTCAGGGCCAGAGCCCAGCTCTGCTGCTGCTGCTGACGGGAGCCGGGGGTGGTCACACACGCTCTACGGCAGGGCAGAGGGACGCACAGATGGGCACTGCTGGCCGCGCGGACCAGGCGTCACTGGGCGTCCCACTCCAGAGACGGAGAAATGTTTAGGCAGAAATTCCTCAGGGGAGAAAAATGACCAGACGGTGCCCCAGAACCGCAGCTCGCTCCCTCCCAGAAGCGCCAGGGTCCATTCTGGAGGAGGCATACATCATCCAAAACGCCTTCCAGACGGACGGACGCCCAGGAAGCAGCCTGGGCCGGGCGGGCAGGCGGGCGAGCCTGGAGGATGGATTTACAACAGCGCCGCTGCATCTCAGGAATGCGCCTCTCCCTCTCACTCCCCTGTATAGGCCGGTTCTGCCCGTCCTGGAGAGCAGCAGGCGGCACGGAAGGAGCTGGAAGCCGGACACTGCCTGCTGCTCGTGTAGCCGTGTAGCCTGGGCCAGGCATTGCACCCCGATGGCAGTCCCGGGAGCGAGGCCCATGTGGCAGGAGGGCTGAGTCAGCCAGTGTCACCCCAGTGCCCGGCCCGCACCCCAACCAGCCGCTCTCTGCCCACCTAATTCCCCGTGGCAGGGGCTGCAAGTTGGCAAACCCCATGACGGCACCTCAAGGGCTGCCACAGCACAGAGCCACAGCTGTGCTTGGCCCAGGTGCTTGTGTGGCCAGCGGTCCTTCAAGACCACGGGCTCAGCACAGCTGAGCAGCAGCCGTGGGATCCTCAAGGCCATCCTTGGTCTGAGGACCACAGGGAAGCTGGCCTGGATGGGACAGCAAGAAGAGAGCCAGTCCTGGGTACAACAGTGGAAGCCCAGAGCCACCCCGCACCCGCTCCCTGACAGAAACCACCCGTGTTTACAGGCACTCAGGGGTTCACCTGCCCTTTGATTGCTGGTGGGCAATCCAGAGTTCACCCTGCGCCCCAGGTCAAAGGAACAGAGCGCAAAGGCACACGGGAAAGCAAAGGAAGCCCCTGTGGTGTGTGGCACCAAGTTCCTGGCCTACAAGGGGCTTGCCCCAGGCGTTCCCGCCTGTCACCCCATGGCCAGCCCAACCTCGCCCCGACACACAGGCGCCCGCCCCCAGGGCCAGCCTGCGGAGCCCCTCATCATGCCATGAGTGGCCCCATCCATCCTCCATCCTGTCTCCTGGGAGGCAGGCCCTGGCTCTCATCCACCATCCACTCTGCGGGTTCTGGAACCTCCTCCCACCAGGGCAGGAGGAGGAGGAGGGGGAAGGAGGACCCCCTCGTGCTGTTGCTGGCAGGGCACGCCGAGCAGGCGACTCACGGCTGAGCGTCAGCAAACAGGTGCCTTTCTCGGGAGAGGGAGCCCTAAATGTAGCTGATCGGGATTTTAAAGACCAGGAATCCAGTTCAAAAGCACAGCTGCTTATTTGTAATAGGGGTGAACGCGTCCGTAAGGAGTCTTCTCACGGCTCACAAAGAGTGTTTCTGGAGGGGTGAGCCGAGGCCGAGCGCACCGGCGGTGCCATCCTAGTGCTCAACACAGTTTCACTTGGTTCCGCCTGCTCGGGGAGAGAGATAAGAAACTTTCTACGGGGATAGGATTCTATCCCCGGGGCCAAAACCATCTGGCCCCTGGGAGGTGTTCCATAAATATTTGCAAAATGATTAACTGTTAGCACAAACCAACTTTTGGAACACTTTAAGCTCCGACTACCTTTATTTGCTCTTGCTTTTTAAAAGGGCCCCGGGCTAGCGCTGCAGAGTAGCACTCGGGTGCACCTGCTGTGCTTCACAGCGTGCATTCCGAGTTAACACAAGTAACACACCCGGGTGCCAGGCCGGTGCAGTGCCCGCCACACACACACATGTGCACATGCATGTCCACTCGCACGCACATGTGTGTGCAGCACCCCTGAGAGTCCTATTAGCACATGTTTTGTAGATGGCGAAACAGACTTTGGGAGGTTAACTAATTGGCCCAAAGACACACGGCCGTTAAGTCACCGACGACAACCAACACGGAAAACACACCCTGGGTACGCCCCACCTCCTCTGATGTTCACCTGGGGGCTATGTGTTCAGTGGGGGAGGGCTGCCGAGTCAGAACAGCTAAAAATACTTTTGTTTAAAAGGGACCCTCTTTTTCTGCCTCAAAGAAAACGCAAATAAAACCTTATTTGTACACTAGTTACTATCTTCTTCAAGCTAACAACAATTTGGGGACTAAAAAGGCACAGGCAAGGACATCAAACGACTACAAATGTTTTAATTCAGTGAAATAAAGCTGCAACTTCTGGGGTCGGCACTGTGGTGTCGAGGGGAAAGCCACAGCGTGCAGTGCCAGCATCCCATATGAGCACCAGTTCAAGACCCAGCTGCTCCTCTTCTGATCTGGCTCTCTGCTAAGGCCTGGGAAAGCAGTAGAAGGTGGCCCAAGAACTTGGGCCCCTGCCCCCATGTGGGAGACCTGGAAGAAGCTCCTGGCTATGGATTGGTGCAGCTCTAGCTGTTGTGGCCATCTGGGGAGTGAACCAGCGGATGGAAGACCTCTCTCTCTCTCTCTCTCTCTCTCTCTCTGCCTCTGCCTCCCTGTAACTCCGCCTTTCAAATAAATAAATAAATCTTAAAAAAAAATAAAAAAACTGCAACTTCCAAGAGTGATCCTGAACAAACCTCTTGAAGGCGGCACCGCCCCCCACAGCACGGCCTTCCCGGCGCCTCTCCCTCCCTGCACTTGAGCTTCTTCCAGGGGTCCCTGGGAAACGCCGGCCCCCCCGGGAGACTACGCCCATTGCCAGCTGAACCTGCATTGTCAGCCACGGTGGACGTGCACGAGACGCTGGGAGGGCATCTGCCCTTTTCCCGAGACACACAGGCTGGGAATCAACACACCTGGCACAGCACCAGCCCCAACGCACTGGCCCGAAGCCACAGGGACGCGGGCTCTGTCCCCAGGCCGAGGGGCCTCTCCTGCCAGCAGGCCACATTTTGTTTTTTTTGTTTTTTTGTTTTTTTTTTTTACAACTCAGAACAAAGTTCCAAGCAACCTTTGCTTGCATTCCTCCAATTTCTACAAACATCAATGTCCACCTTTGGGTGTCTGATAATCCATCTGGGGGTGTGGCCAGAAAGGAGAGATCTGGGGGTTCCTCTGAGACCCCACAAACGATGACTGCACAGTATCCCCCGGGGCACTTGGCCGGAGGTTCCACACACACCACTCAGCACCCACGCACGCACACACACACATGCACACTGTCACAGCACACACACGCACACACAGTCAGAGCACACACGCACACACACACGTACACACTATCAGAATACACGCACACACACTGTCACAGCACACACACACACACACACACACCCCTGTGCTTTCAGAGGCCCCCCAGACCCCTCCTCTGCAGACCTCCGAGGTCCATGGATCAGCCACGTACCCCCCAACCACGCTGGTCTCACGTGGCTTCGAGACTCCAAGCAGACGCCTCTGGCTGCTCGCAGAAGTAACTGGGCCGCCCACAAAGCCCCACTACCCCACTTCCCTGCCGGTCCCAGGATGGGACAATGCGAGGGTGCTGTCCGGGCTGCGGCCTGTGCCCTGGCCATGTCTCCCCGGGCTCTCTCACTGCAGGGGCCCCTCCTTGTTGCAGGGGGAGAAGCCCAAGTGGGCACCTGACAGGGCCCGGGCCGGCGGCAGCAGGCAGGATGGCACCTTCTACCCTTCCAGCTGGGGCTCGGCAGAGAAATACCCGGACGGCATCACCACCCAGGCTGCTTCCTCCCTGAGCCTCGTCTGTTTGCTGGTATTAGGAGGAGATGAAACCACACAGCGGAAGGCCGGGCTTCTTTGAGTAACGGAAGCAGCGCTCAGCGCGAGCCTCAGAGCTGCCACTCTGCCCTGCAGGGCAGTGCCAGCACCAGTGGCTGGCAGGGAACAGGGCGGCAGGTGAGCACTGGCTACTGGAATGGTGCCACAGGGCTCACCGGGAGTCAGCCTGGGGAACAGGAGGCAAGGCAGACAGCCCGGGAGAGGCCAGAGCCAGTCCCTCCAGGAAGGCCTGCTCTGAACGAGGAGGCGGAGCTTCTGTCCTGGGCCCTTCACTCCCAACAGGGGGCACCCACAGAGCAGCGCCCCCATGACCCACGCCCTGGGCCGGCTGCAACACGGGAGAGCCAGGTTCCCGGCGGCGCGAGGCGGGCAGCCTGGGCGGTGGGGCTAAGGTTGGGAAGCCCCATAAGATCTGTTCTAGAAATAGACACAACGACTCACATTCTAGAATCACCCCTAGCAGCTTCCGCTGGGGTCAGGAGCTCACACACGTTTGCACAAATAATACAGTACAAGCCAGGGGTGTCTCAACTCTCCCAGAGACTGGCTTCTCCTCCCAGCCTGGTGGTCTTCCGTGGAAGAGCCGAGAACCAACGGAAAGACCCCTCCAGGCTGGGGGGCCGGGGCCAGAGCTGCAGGCGGCTGGGATCCGCTCGGGCTGGGATGGGGGGGTGCGAGAGACCTGGTGAGAGCCACTTCAGCCCCCCCACAGTGGCTGCACAACCTCCAGCGCCAGCCCTGGACAGCGAGCAGCCTGGGGGCCCCCGGCACCCACCGCCTCCCTCAACGTGGGTGGGAGGGCCTGACACCCCCGTCCCCCTGGCTACTCTCTGGCACACTCAGATTGTTCAACACCGGCCGCTGGGATGCACGTGCGCTCTCCCTCGGTCCCCCACCTCGTCCTCTGCACCCGAGTACCGAGTACCGAGAGCGGGCACCGAGCCCGGCGGCGGCCCTGCTCACCTCTGGAGTGTTCTTCTTGAACTCGCGGCTCTGCTCGATGAGCCGTTTTCTCGACTGTTCGCTTTCATCTTGCCGGTTGGCCAAAACTGTTGCGGTGGCATCCAGTTCTCTCTGTTGAGAGAATAAAAAGGGAAGGCAAGGTCATAACTCACTTTGTCCCAGAAAAACCCTCCTACTTGTATCTGGCCAGAACACTGGGAGAGACACGCCCGGCTCTACCGACTACCTGCTCAGGGGTAGCGGAGGGGCTGGGGGTGGGTGCCAAGGACACCGGACGCATCGCTCATCCCACGTCCACCGCGCCACCCCTCGCCAGCCCACGCCTACCCATAGGCGCCGGTTTGAGAAAATCAGACTTGCTTATCTTGCTGTGTTGTGCACAGTCACACGCGCCACCAAGGGCTCTGCCCGGACAACAGAACGCAGCCACATTCCTCCTGCCGAAGCCAGCCAGGCCAGAGCCCAGACGATGCCTGGCTGGAGCTGCCGGGCTTCTGTCGGGGTCAGCGCCCAGGGCTCCAGTCCGGCCGCGCCTTCTGCTGGGCTGTCTTCCGACGGCGCGCGCCTGACATCCTGTGCGCTCACACTTGATTTGCTTTCATTCAACAAATATTTATTGTGAGCTCATTCCAAGGCGCACAGCACGCTCGGGACCATGAACTAGTGCGCAACACGGACCTTTCCCCAGGCAAATTTCGAGAAATTCCACTGTCTTGTCAGCTTTTCAGAAATAAGGCACCTAGCCATGGCGGCGGGTCCCACGCCACTTTTACTGCCTGCCCTGGAGCTCTGGGGACCACGGAGAGGTGGCCTGCCAGGGGCTGAGGGCTCTGTTCCCCCACAACAGGCACCAGGGACCCCGCGCTCTGCCCTGGCAGTCCCGGGCCGCCTTGCCAGGAGGCTCTGCTCCAAGCCAGCCTGCAGCAGATGGACCCAGAATGGAGCAGGACACGTGGCTGGCGCCACCAAAAGGCCCGTCCTCCTGCTCAGAGCTGCTGCAGTTCCTGAAGACAGAACGGCACAGGCTGCCCGGGACTGGGGGGCTGCCCCCTGTCTCCTCTCAACGGCGGGGACCACCACAGTGCAGGTGAGCAGAGCAAGGGCCGGAACCAACCAGAGGATGGGTGACGGGGACAGCTGATGATGAAGGCACACCCCAGACACCCGGGAAGCATGGCGGGGTCTCCCTTGGCTGACCAACCCCACCGCCACCCCTGCTCCACCCCCAACCTCCGAAAACTTCACTTGCTTTCCCTTTCGGTGGCGATAACCCAACAGGCTCCCAGCCGATGGGAGCTGCTTTGCTGGTGTCACTCGGAGTGGCCCGCGGCCAGGCAGGACACGCGAGGGGCAACATTCACTCAGTGTGCGGTCAACAAAGAAACTGCAGGCAGGGGGGGGGGGGGTTGGTTAGTTGGTGGGGGGGAAGTGGTTAGTTGGTGAGTGGGTTGGCTAGTTGGCATGTGTATGGGGAGAATTGGTTAGCTGGTGTGGGGGGAGTTGGTGTGTGTTGGGGGGAGTTGGTGTAGGGGGGGGTTGGTTAGTTGGTGTGGGGGGGAGTTGGGTTGGTTAGTTGGTGTGTTTGTGGAGGGGGGAGTTGGGTTGGTTAGTTGGTGTGTTTGTGGAGGGGGGAGTTGGTTAGCTGGTGTGGTTTGTAGAGGGGGGAGTTAGTTGGTGTGGGGGGAGTTGGTTAGCTGGTGTGGGGGGAGCTGGTGTGTGTTGGAGGGAGTTGGTGTGGGGGGGTTGGTTAGTTGGTGTTGAGGGGAAGTTGAGTTGGTTAATTGGTGTTTTTGTGGGGGGTTGATTAGTTGGTGTGTTTGTGGGGGGCTGATTAGTTGGTGTGGGGGGGAGTTGGGTTGGTTAGTTGGTGTGTTTGTGGAGGGGGGAGTTGGTTAATTGGTGGGGGAGTTCATTAGTTGGTGCGTTTGTGGAGGGGGCAGTTAGTTGGTGTGGGGGGTTGGTTAGTTGGTGTTGGAGGAGCTGGTTAGTTGGTTGGGGGGGTTGGCTAGTTGGTGTGGGATGGTTAGTTGGTGCGTTTATGGAGGGGGGAGTTGGTTAGTTGGTTGTTGACTTTTTTAAAAGGAGGGGACGGAGTGGGTGGGGGGAGCGATAGCGCCACACCACACTCTCACACGTCCTCCTTTCATCTTTCTGGCATTAAAACACATCTCGGGCAAACAAGCCCCAGAGAAGCACGTGGGCTGGAATTCAAGAACAGATGTCAAAGCTACTGCAGCAAAGAGGGAAACACGCAACATTCTGATAGACCACATTTGAAACCCAGCCCAGCCTTGCGCGAAGGCAGGCAGGGAAAAAGAGCAACGCGGGCCATGTGGGGAGCGGGGCGGGCGCGCGGGAGAAGAGCAGCTCCAGGGAACATAAACAGTCTGGGAGGAGGAGGGCTGAGGCGTCTATATTTAAGCAGCGGCAGCACAAGTTATAAAAGGAGACTTCAAGAAGGGCGGAAAAAAGCCAATATTGAAATATGACAAAAAAGCAAAAAAAAAAAAAAAAAAAGTTTGTGTTTCATCGCTGTCACACACACGGACACAGACTTCAGAGAAAAACAGCAATGGTGGTTGTCGGCCAGGACCCTCTTGCCTGGCCAGGGGGCAGCTGGTCATCAGGCATCCAGTTGAACACGTGCCAGGTGCTGGGGGACCAAGGGTGACCGCGGGGTCCCCGGCTCGACTCCCACCTTCCAGTTGAGTGGGGGAAACATTGTGGGGCGCAGGAAGAGTGTGGGGTCTGTAGGACACTCTGTCTCCCTTGGCTCCACGTCTGCTCCTTGGGCTGTGAGATCCCCGAGCTGGAACAGGTGGCCTGGGGGGTGCAGAGCCAGTGTGCCTGAGGCCACGGGCTGCTGGCAGTCGGGGACTCTGCGGGGACGCACCTGGGGCCCGTGGACATATGCAGGTCGGCTTGAGAAACCAACGGGGGTCTCCAAATGGCACACGGCGCCACCCGCCACCTCGGAAACAGATTGGCAGTCAGGAGGAAGGAGCTGAGCCGCCACCACCGCAGATGGGGTTGGTCAGATTGAAGGCTCAAGGTCTTTGATAGAAAAACACCAAATCCCACGGAGAGACCAAGGCGTTCTCTCCGGCGCTGCAGACCCGGCAATGGGAGGAGGAAGCTATTACACACGAGCCAGATACTGTCTGATTATCAGCCGAGTCTCCATACTCAAAGTGTCAAATATCGCGATGCATTAACCAGGGGCTTGCACGTGAGTGGGGGTGGGGTGGAGGTGGGGGTGAGACGCAGCAGAAAGGAGGACACAGGGGCCCCACACTGAAAGGCACCAAAAATACACAACGGTGGGGGGGACCAGCCTGGGAGGAATGTCAGGGTCCAGCAATAGCACACTGGCATGGCGACTCGCAGACACACACACACACACACACGCACACACACACGGTTCCACATGTGCTTCGGGGGGCAGGACGGTCATCGAGATAAATTTCAGCACCAACAGCAAAGCGTACAATGATGCCAGCATCAGTTAGGAGACTACCTGTGCACCTGCTTCAGGCGCTGAGCATCTCGGGAAAGCCACGGAGCAGGCACGAGGCCGCGCGGATGGGCACCTGCATCCACAGTACGCATCTTTGGGCTACTTAGCCACACGCGTGAATTATTTACTGGAAAACTGCAATAATTTTTAAAATCCCACCAATGAGGGGCTGCTACAGTGGCACAGCTGGTAAAGCCACCATCTGCAGCTCTGGCATCCCCATATGGGTGCCAGTTCAAGTCCCGGCTGCTCTGCTTCTGATCCAGCTCCCTGCTAACGCACCTGGGAAAGCAGCAGAGGATGGCCCAAGTGCTTGGGCCCTTCACCCATGTGGGAGACCTGGATGAAGCTACTGGCGCATGGCCATTGTGATCATTTGGGAAGGGAACCAGCGGATGGAAAACCTCTCTCTTGTCTCTCCCTCCCTCTCTCTCTCTAACTTTGCCTTTCAAATAAATAAAATACATCTTAAAAAGATGAAATGCCCATGTCCTACCCAATTCCAGCTTCTTGACAATGCAGATCCTGGGAGGAAGTACATGACGGCTCAGTTGGGTTCCTGACCCCCACTTGGGAGACCTGGATTGAGTTCCCGGCTCCTGGCTCCAGGCCCAAATCTGGCCCTGGCCATTGTGGGTATCTGGGGAATGGACCAGCAGACGAACACTCTGTCTGTTTAACAAACCCAGAAAAGCTAAAAAGTGAGCTGTGCACATTCTATGTCCAAACAACAGCTGCCGCTTGCACAATGCGCTGTGCACCGGCCAATCTCAGGGTGCAGGAGCGGGCGGGAGGCAGCGGCGCTGGTCACAGGACACCACCCAGCCCAGGAGCCGGCCCTGAGAACCTCTTCATTCCACCAAGGCCGCTCCACCTGCCCTGCCCAGGAGAGCTTCCTGAGGCCCCGGCTACCTCCAGCTCATCCCCACGCACACACAGGCCCCTGTCCATGATGGGGCTGGGCAGGGCACTGCCCAGCGCTGCAGAGGGCCGGAGTCCTGTTTACCTCCCTGGTGACAATTTCAGGCATGCTTTTTCTCTACTTCTAAAAGGTCCCCAAAGGGCAAGGCCCCTCAGACCTGCCAGCTCTCAGCCTCTCAGACAACTATTAATGATGTATTAAAAAGCAAATGTTAAAAACGCCCATGTGGTGCAGCGGGTGAAGCCGCCACGCGGGACACCCTAGGGCCATATGGAGTGATGGGTTTGAATCCTGCCTCCACTTCCAATCCAGCGTCCTGCCAATGCTCCCGGGACGCAGTGACTCATGGCCCGAGTACGTGGGTCCCTGACACCCACGTGGGAGACCCAAATGGAGTTCCTGGCTCCTGGTTGGCCTGGCCTGGCTCTAGCTGTCGTGAGCATTTGGGAAGTGAATCAGCAGATGGGAGATCCATCAATCACTTTCTCTGTCTGTCACTGTGCCTTTCAAATACATAAATCCTTGAGAGAGAGACAGAGACACCAAGAACTGGTTGCTGATTTCAAAGAAACTGCTGGGAAAAACTTTTCTCAAATAAATCAAGTCTCCTGAGGACGTGGGGAGGAGAAGGGCATCACTCACCTCTCAAGTGTAGGGCGCGGTTTGTGTGAC